AATCATCTTTCCTCCCCTCCGCCAGGGGGAGATATTTTACACAGGCTCAAACTTAACAAGCTTACAGTAGGAGATAATTCAGCGGAGCTCAGCTTGAATACCTAGTCGACTAATAACTTTGTGTTCAACCTCAGATACGTCAGTTTTTCTCTCTCAATTTCTCCAGTTTTGAAATGAAGGGTTAGGACAGCACAGTTTCTAACACTGACTTAAAAAAAACTTACTTGCAAAAGGAAAAAAAGGCAAGTTTGAGGACTACCCCTTCGTAATTCAGCCGCTTCAGAGCCCTGGAGCTCAATTTCTTCAAAAGCGAAATGCGGGTGAGATGCATTTCTGAAGTACTCTTACAGACCTGAGACGGTTTTTACTCCTGCACTTTGAAGGATAATTTTGCCAGATAGAGAACTCTAGGTTGAGGGGTGGGAGAGGGATCTTTCAACGCTTTAAATATTTCACTCTACTTGTTTTTTTTTTTTTTTAACACTATTGTGGGGTGCTCACGGCAATTAGGTTTACTGATCTATTTTCTGTTATTATTTAATGGCAGTACTGGGGATTGAACCCAGGACCTCATGCATGGTAACCCCTACCCCTGAGCTATCTATACCCAACCCAACTGTCGTTAATTTTAGAAAGTTCTTGGCCCTTGTTAACTCAGATATTTTTATTTTCTTGTTTTTCCTCCTAGTATTCCAATTACATATATTTTACCTCTTTTGAAATTGTTCTGTAGTTCTTGGATGGTCTATTCTGTTTGGGGCTTGGGTTTTTTTTTCCCGCCCCCGTTCTTTTTCCCTTTTGAATTTCAGTAGCGAAATTTCTATTGACCCATCTCCACGCTGATTCTTTTCCTTGGCTGTGTCCAGTCCACTGAGGAGCCCCTTAGAGGCATTCTTTGTTAGTGTTTTTCATTTCTAGCATTTTCTTGCAATCTTGCATAGTTCCCTTATCTCTGCTTACATTACCCATCTGTTCTTACATGTTATTTACTTTTACACTAGACTCTTTAACATATTAATGTTATTTTAAAGTTCCTGTCTGATAACTCCAACGTGTGTAATATCTGAACCTGGTTGTAATGAATGATTGGTCTTACCAGACTGCGGGGGTTTTTCCCTTGCCCTTTTTAGCACACTTGTAATTTTTTGTTGAAAATCAGACACTATTGGCTGTATTAGGTAATAGGAACTGAGGTAAACAAGCCTCTACTGTGTGGAGCTGCTATTCTGGTTAGGAGTTGAGCTGTGTTTAATGTTTGCAGTAACTGTAGGTGCCAGAGGCTTCAAATTCCTCTAGTGTCTTTGCTTTTGTCTTTCCTCTTGACTTTGGGCTTCCCTAGAAAGCCTGTTTTGTATCTCTTCCAGCTGTAATCCACTCTTACAGTGGAACTGGCCTGGTGGTAAGGTGTGGCAGAGGGGAGGCATTCTGTTTTATGATGAAATCTCAGTATTTTAGTGGGCCTGTGTCCTTGGGCTGTGACCTTTGTGTTCCTTAACCCACTATGATATTGTGATAAATATATTCAGTCTTTGTTCCCAGCTCCTTGCCAGAGCTCCTAGAACCCTTGTAATTTCCTCAAGAGTGATAGGAGCGTCTTCCATCATACCTCATTTTTGCCCGTCCCTGAAACAGCCCTGGAAAGATAAAGGAGTGGCTTTTGTTGTTCACATCAAGCCCCTTTCAGTAGCACCAGAGTTTGTGTTAACGAGCTGACTCTTAGAAAGCCCCTAAGCGGGGCTTGTTGCCAGGGGAACTAAATGATTAGAGGGTTGGAATTTTCAGCCTTCCCTCCTTATCCTCTGACCTCCAAGAAGGTGATGGGGCTGAGGGTTGAGTTAATCACTAGTGGCTTAAAGATTTAATCAATCATGCCTGTGTAATAAAGCCTCCATTTAAAAAACCCCACCCGAGGGACTGGGAGAGCTTCCAGATGAGTGAGCACACCACAGTGCCGGGGTGACCTGCCCAGAGCGCGCACGGGAGCCGCACACCCCTCTCCACACCTTGCCCTACACATCTCTTCCATCCAGCTGTTCCTAAATTGCATTCTTTTCTGAAAAACCAATAATCTAGTAAGTAAACTGTTTCCCTGAGTTCTCTGAGCCATTACAGCAAATTATTAAAACCATGGGAGGGATTGTAGAAACCCGATTCACAGAAGTTCGGAAGTACCAGAGGCCTGCACCTGTGACTGGCATCTGGAGAGACGGTCTTGAGGGACTGAGCCCTTAACGTGTGGGATCTGGTGCTAACTGCAGGTAGTGTCAGAACTGAATTGTAGGACAACCAACTGGCGTCAGAGACCTGGTCAGTGTGGAACCCCCTCCACACACAGTTAGTGTCAGAAGTGTGTCAGTAGTCAAATGTACAGAAAAGCATGAGCTATCTTTTACCCTCCCCACGCCTGGACGAGACAGTAAGGCTAGAGTGGAGGGGCTGGAGTGGTAGACATGCCCTCCCCCAGGTGGGGTCAGACTCAGGTCAGTCTCCCACCCCCACCCCTAGGCCTTTGTTACCGAGAGAATGCTCTGAGTTTATTTTATAAAGGTTACTCTTCCTCTCCCCCGGCTAGAGCAATTACCTGTGAACACCAGGGGAGGTCCCTGGAGATAAAACCCGTAAGAATGTGGGGTGTCCCTTAGGCTGTGGCCCCGGGGTTTCTCGCTCCCCTGTGAGTCCACACTCGGCCTCCAGGGACACATCCCGGCTCCTACCAGTGCCGGCTCCGGCTGCTTCTGCTGCGGGTGAGCAGCTCTTGCCGGTGACTGCGCCCCTCTCCGGGTTTCTAGGGGGCAGTAGGCCCTGCAAACTCAGTTCTCTGATGGGTCCAGAAAGTTGCTGATTTTGAGTTTGCCCAGCTTTTCCTTGTTGTAAGGACAGGAGTGACAACTTCCAAACTCTCTGTGTGCCTGAGCTGAAGCCAGAAGTCCTTTCTGAAGTATTTCTTAAAACCATGCTAGGCTACTGAAGCATTTTAGGCAGAAGGGCTTTTGACCTTCAAGTTCAGAGGAGGTGCTTCCTGTGGATGAAACCTCGTACCCCACGTTAGAAACCTGAATGTCCGCACGCACGGCAGGCTGGGGCCACATGGGTTCTGGAGTCAGGGAGACCAGACCTGGGCTGCAAGCCCAGCGGTGTAACCCTGAGCGTGCTTACCCTCGCCCTCCTTCCACCACCGACTGGCTCTGCGCGCCCCCCCGCCCCCGCTCACCTCTCTCAACCTGTTTCTTCCGTGTGTCAGCTGCGTACCTGAGTCACCACCTCAGAGGGTGCTGCACTAGCCTGGGGGAGATGGATCATGTTGCCAGCACTGCAGGAGAAACAGGGCAAGGGCAGAACCTGACCCCACGTATCCCCTGTTAGGAGCCCAGCGACTGTGACTTTGTCCAGAGGCCTTAAGCACACAGGTAACACAGGAGCTGGGGCTGTCCTCTCATACCAGATGGTCAGGAAGGAAGGCGGGGAGGGATGTTATCTGCTGAGCCTCACAACAGGCGTGCACATACACACACACACCCCCAAACACTAACAGATGCTATTTTATTTTTTAAAAAGGTTCCAATACAAGGCCCCAGAGTAGTGCATGCAGATCAGTAACCCTCAGCCTGTCACTGTCAGACGGCCAGCACAACCTGCTACCGCAGTCTGTGACCTGGCACACACACCAGCTTCGTAACTCAAGTCCCGTCACCTCAATATGCCGGTGCCCAACCTAGCAGGTGGCTCTTGATGACCTGGGTGCACTTTAGCATCTGAACAGCAGAAACACGCTGAGTTCTAAGTATAATGAGTAAGTGTCCGTAGTGTATTAGCCGGGGAGAAACACAAGGCATAAAACGGAAAAGCCAGCTTCGTGTGATGCCTGAATCCCCCAAAGTCCCTTCCATACGTGACCCGTGTCTGGGGACATCTGCCAACGTCACATCAAGGACTCGCTCATTTTCTGATGAGATGGAGCTGTTTGCCTTGAAGGACTGCAGGACGGGGGAAATACTCACAAGAGGTAAGAACTTGAAGCTGTGATTTCAATTCATGGGCTGTCTTTCCCCTGACATTAACCCATCTCTGTAAATCCAACTTTTGCCCGTGTGAATTCCGAGAACTGGTACAGCTGAGGGGTAGAGAGTTCTAACTCCTGTCGTGTCTGTGATTATGGGGGAATAAAGCCACGGAAGAATCCAATCACATCAGAGGGCTTTAGTTTGGTTTAGTATATTCAGTGATTTTTAAATTTAAAAACATGTTTATTATGTGTGTGGCTCTCAGTGCTCTTAGCTACTTACAGATCGCCACCTGCTGTTGATTTCAGGAAAAGGGTATGATTAGTAAACTAGTCTTAACTTGAAACCACCAGCTGACTGAGAGAGAGACTCTCATTGGAAAAGTCATCATGAGGGAGAGCAGCATACAGCTTCTAGAAATACCTGCTTTCAGTGCAGGGAGCTTCCTTCTCTCCAGTCAGAGAGAAATGACAGGCTGAGCAGGGAGGAGCATGCAGCTATCTGGAAGTCCCTCCAGAGCCACAGCATGAAGGGCTTGAGGAAGAAAAGATGCCTGCAGCTGGCAACATTTTAGATGCCTGACTTCCCAGAACTATGACAGTCAGTGAGCCTGGCAACCGGCAGGCCTTAGTAACCCATTCAGTCCTCTGGGAAAAGAACCCAAATTCCAGGGGTTCTCCACTACCCACTCCCCATTCCCGCGGCCCTGTACAGGACCCTATCATTCAGCCCAAAGAGCCAGCAGGTGCCAAAGAAATGTCAATAGTGTTAACACAAATACAGATTACTTTTACACCACACAGTTTTTCAGACACTCCCAACATCAACAGGGGTCTCCCCAGAATGTAACAACACGAATTTCAGCTCTCACACCAGTAACCAGGGAGAGTATGACCCAGAGTTAAAGGGGCATAAAGTGACTAGTGGTAAGTTATTGTTCATTAATTAACAAGCGTAACTGCAGGAACTCTGCCCGAGCTGGGCACACTCGGGTCATCATAACATCAGACACCACTTAAGGGCTATGCTTCTGTGAACCTAGGCACCAGAGCTAAGTTAACAGCTTCCCTTTTTGCCCTTAATTGATGAAGTTCAAGTGCTGCAGTTCTGCCAGAATGAGCCCAGCTTGTGCCTCCTTCAAACATTTCAGATTCTCAATACTAACCATGGGTAAGAGCATACCTCACCAGGGCCAAGGGCAGGACAAGATGAACCAAAAGGGAAGACGGCTTGTCAGCTCGCCTCGGAAGTCATTTTAATTCACCTTCCGACTCCGGGAAGCTCCAGCTCTTCTGACCACATTCCACAAACGCTTCCTGTCACCAGTTCCTAGACCGCAGGCCGGGCCTTGGAAACAGCCCAGGTCAGGGTAATTTTGCCGGAGCTCTAGAGGGAGCTTCTCCAGGCACAGACACTGTCCCAGCCCTCATTCAGTCCCACAGAACGGAACTCTGGCTCTTCTCCCAAATTATACTACCTCGATCAACCAAAAGGTGAACCCCTCCTGTTTTCTAGAAAGCTCATGAGACTCACAGTGATAGCCCCGCACTGGGAGAAACAAGGGTGGATGCAAAGTGAGTAGGAAACAGACTCCCATCGGGTGGAAACCCCCATCACCCCCTCTTAAAAAGAGATGCTGGGCTCTCCTGGGTCTAAACCACTGCCTTCAGAGCAATAACCTGCCCTTCCACTGCACAGGCAGGACATGCCCAGCAGGGCAGAGGGCGCCCAGGTGACGGGACAGACCTGCCAGCGCCGAGGGAGATTTAAAGGAGTCTATCTCATCTGTCTTGCCTGAAGGAAGGGCCCCTGTAAGGCCGCCCTATAATACTGCATAATGACCAAACACCAGGTGGCAGCAAATGGACGCACGAGGCGCAGGGCAGCCATTTCTGCCCAGGGCCCAACAGAACTGCACTTCGTTGCATCTGGGCAGTGAAGATTCAAAGTCCCTTCTAAAGGGAAAACCCAATTTAACATCAAAAAAAAAAACCGAACAGGAAAAACAGCAAATGAATGCTGATTCTTCCTGTTCTAGCTCCCATTTTATTATTCAACTGCCGTGGAAGAAGCTCCAAGTGCACAGCACGAAACAGCAGATTCCTCCCCACAACCTGCGTGCACCTTCATTCTGGCCCTTCTTCCTTCCGCATCAACCCCAGCAGCCGTCCCTGCCGCTTCCCTGGCTCCCACCAGCCCCAGGGGCACCCTGCCTGCCACAGTCCATGGTCAGTGGACGCCCTGCCATCTATGGTTTGCAGTCAGTGGGTGCCCCGCCCACCACCGTCAGTGGTCAGTGGGTGCCCTGCGCCACCACAGTCCACAGTCAGTGGGTGCCCTGCCCACTATGGTCAGTGGGCGCCCCCCTTCTGTCTGGCCAGGGTGCGCTTCAGCTCCCTCAGATTCTCTGTCAGCACCTCCACCTCGTCCAGGCGGCCGCACTGCTTGGCGTCAAAGATGTATGCCTTGATGTTGTCGATCTGCTGGAGGAGGAGCTCCTCCTCTATGGGCTCCTCGCCCTCCCGCCCGCTGTCGCCGTCCACCTCGAAGGGGTTGGTACACAGGGCCTCCTCGAAGGGGTTGCCGGGAACAGGGGGACCTGAGGGCCTCTGATGGGGACACTCATCTTCCTCGTCGAAGGGACTGGGGACTGAGCTGTCTGGGTCAGTGAAGGGATTCCCTGCCACTGCCTCCTCTTCTTCCTCTTCCTCAAAAGGATTGTATTCTTTGTGGGCGCGGACTGCAGAGTCACAGGGAGGCTCTGCCACAGGAGGGCTGGCCGCGCCCTCTGCCGCGGGGCTGCAGAGGTCTTCCTCGTCAAAGGGATTCAGGGAGGGCACCTCACTGTGCTGTGATGTGATGCTCTGGGGGAGGAACCCCGGGCCAAGCGCTGGGGGCCCAGACCACACTCTGCTGGGCTCCAGAGCTGAGCTGGGTGAAGGGGTCTTGCGGGCTGCACTGCCTGGAACTGGGGAAGAGCCCAGATCCAAAGCATGAGCCAGGTGGGTGCGAGGCTCTCTGCCTGGCTCCAGCTGAAAAGGCCTGCTGTCTCGGAAGTCCAGGGACCGAGTCCGCGTGTGCAGGGATGCTGCCTGGAACTGCTCCCTTTCTCGCTCCCGCTCCCGCAGCATCTGCAGCTGTTCCCGCTGCAGGTCCTCCTCCTCAGCCTGCCTCCGGGACAGCTCGATGGCCTTCTCTGTCTGCTGCTGGTCATACTCGTCCTGCAGTTGGCGCAGGTTCTCCTGCAGGGTGCGCACTTCATCTGTCCGGCCGGCAGCCTTAGCCTGCCTGATAAATGATGTGATGTTGTGGATCTGCTGGAGGAGGGGGTCCGAATCCTCACTCTGCCTCTGACCTCCGGACAGCGGGAGCCAGCCCTCAGCCTTTCTCAGAGGGGCAGGGCCCCTGCGAAGGGACGCCACCTCCCCATTGGTCGCACGAGACGCCAGGTCACTCTGCCTTTCCTCAAGCCTTCGCTGGGATTCCAGGGCAGCCTAGGAAGAAACCAAAGCCACACAGAAGAACATGGTCACCAGGCCAACAACAGCCACATTGCCAGACACCCTCTGCGGTCCCAATATCCCTGCACCAGTAGGACTCCAACTCCTCACCTCAGGACTAAGATATCCAACTGCTAAAATCAAATCATGCTTTTTTATCGGAAGGAAAGGAGGGGCAAACCCTGATTTTCAAGAATAAAATAATGAGTAACAATTAGTTAAGAGATAAGCATTTCTCAGCCTTAGATTCCCTGGCCTTACACTTGCCTTAAAGCTCTGAGGTCTGTTACCCCTCCTCTACACCAGAATCTCACACGAAAACACATGTTACTCTGCTCGTCCCAAAGTGCTCTGCAAAGAACTGCCTGGTGCCTGGGCCCCTCAGCCTGAGCTGGAGGGAGGGGTGCCCATCTGCGTGGTGTTCTGCCTGCCCAGGAGAAAATCAGCAGAACCTCTGCAAGAGAACTAGGACCTGGGTAGAAAAACAATTATTCTGGTTTCTAAAGATGAGAGTGAGGCCAGAACAGAACAGAAGGCAAATGCAAACTAGAGAGTGAGCAATTCTGACTTAGGACAGCCTCACGGGAGGGAGGCCTGTAGGGGCCTCTCTGCTCCTAGCGGCCGCGCGGAAGCATCCGGACGCCCGCCCTGCGCTTCCCTCACCTCCCTCTCCAGGATCCTCTTCCTCTCCAGTTCCTGCTTCCTTTTCTTCTTCAGTTCCTCAAACTGCTCTTTGGTTGGCAGCGACATCAAACCAAGCAATTTTTCCTGCAGGGAGTCACAGACAATTTTACACTGAAAGCCTTTCAGGAAACGAGCCTGACCCTCTACAGTGAGAGCCCACTTGCGCTAAGCCGCTCCCTCCAGCACACGCACGTTCATCAGCAGTAGCAGGAAAGGACCTCACCCCGAAACTGGCCAGAGCTGACTTCCAGACAGGCCGGCCTTCGCCCTACGGGATGCTCAGCACCAGACCTCCCAGTTACTCACCTCTCAGCAAGGCCTTCTCCGGCCGCCCTGTCCACACTCCTGAGCCTCCATCCGAGCCCCGCCCCTTCCCTCTTTCCATTTCTCACAGCCCTTCTCACTGTCTGATAAGCTATGTATTTCATTTGTTTCTTGTCTCTCCCCCTTTATAAGCTTGATGAGAACAGGAATGTTTGTCTTTGCTCACAGGACGCCCACACCTGGAACACTGCCTGGCACACACAAGAACTCACTGATGACCAGGAAATGCAGTCACACATCAAGAGGAGGAAGGGCCTAATTCTCTGCATCATGGTGTTGTAAAACTACTCCAACAGGACTGTTGGAGCCCTCTGTCAGGAGCCCAGGGGGCATGACTCTGACTCTCAAGAGGGCTTTCTAGGTACAACAACTCGGATCCAACCACCTAGGTCCAGTCTGCCTAGCACAAGCAGCTGCTTCCTCCAAGCAGCAGCCCAGGAAGAGTCCTGTAGGAGCTCATCCCCAGGAGGAAATGCTGCGTGCAGGTGTGTCCATCAATACTCACAACAGCAAAAAATGGGATCCGTCAGTGCCCACTGAAAGGGGGTGGTTAAATAAGGACTGTGTACCCAGTCAAAGCAGCATCCTGTACCCATTCAAAAAGAGCTACTGAGGGCTATATTAAAAAGTGCTTATGATCTAAAATTCAGCAATAAAACAAAAAGAAAGAAATTGGCAAACATGCACTAATTATAAATACTTTTACAGCCAATACAAAAGGAATAAAAAAGAAGGAAATATGTCAGAATGATGATGATATTAGGGACACAGAACTAAAAGGAGTCTTTTCTTTGAAATCCAGATTTTTCTCTAAATGTGGCATAATACAGTCTTAATTTTAAAAAGTAATAAGTGTACAAACAGAAAATAAAGAAGCCATCAGCTTCTGGGTGGCAGAAGAGCAGGGAGGCGCACCTCTGCCACCCGGGACGGCTTTACCTGCACGAAGAGTGTGGCTGAGTATCTGATCATCCTCTGCAGCCGCAAAGTGTTTGGATGTGGTGGAGGGTCCTGCTTCAAGTCTAAGGTTAAGATCTTCTTACTGAATCGGAACAAACACATCAACGCAACAAGCGCTGCAGCCTCCGAAACGGATGAAAAGTCCCCGGCTGCCAGGCCTGCACGCCGGCAACATTTGTGGAGAGATGGGTTAGACTCCACTGAGGTGTCCTTGAAGGTGAAGCCTGTTTCTTACCCATTGGTTGTACCCAGAGCCCCTAACAAGCACGGGGTGAAGGACACTCAGCCATCGAGACACTGAGCCCCCTGTGCAGGGCCAGCTGTGTGGGTGGCTGACCTGAGCAGCAGAAGAGCCCTGCACTTAGTTTAATACTCTGCTATCACTGTCTTACAATTCTCAATAATTTTGAACAAGGTACTTGCATTTTCATTTTGCACCAGGCTCTGCATATTATATAGCCAGTGCTGCATGCACGATGGACAAGGATTCCACATCTCTGTTCTCTGAGTCACTGTACTTCCTAGGCTGCAAAGGGCTGGTCTAACCCAACAGTCCACGGTTAAAAAGAGGTCAACTTGAAGGAAGAATCTGGGTTTCCATTGTGGCTCCAGCACTTGTGCAAGCTGTGGTGCATCTTCTCACCTATAAAATGGGGGTGTTAATCCCTACCCCCAGGGTAGCTTTGGTAAAGGAGCTGCTCTGTGTGGAAACAGCCAGTGGCTAGCACACGGCTAGTGTCGATAATCAGCTCCTATTCCTTTAGGAATCCTCAACCAGGAGCTACGGAGATGTGGCAGCCTCCTCCTCACACAGACCCTCTGGCACAAGGACTGGGTAAGCTCAGGTCTGCTAGCCACCCACCTTCACTCAGGGCAGTGGGGAAGCCATCACCTAACAGACCTCACCTTAAAGCGTCTATGAGCTCATACACTCTCTGAACTTCCATGCGAAGGTCACTGGCATGTTCCAGACTGTAGGTCGTCTCACCGGCACTAGGGAGAAATCACGGAGATGTCTGATCTAAGCTCCATCGCGCTGAATGAAGACTGTGGTGTAAAAGGACTCTGAAGGTTTGGGGCTCACAAAAGGGGAGGCAGTGTTTTCCAAATAGCATTTCAGACTCTTTTGTATAACACAGTGCTTATTCCTTTTCAAAATATAAGTGCTAATCAACTGGAAGTTGCTTATAATTTGCAGGCACCGCAGGGGCACACTGGTGCCAAGGCCTATGAGGTCCAGCTCCTAAGCTCATCGCCAAAATGAACGTGACAGACTCTACTCCAGCCTAATCTCCCCAAACAGTTTCACTGCACCTAGTGAGATGCATGAAGTGGTTACTAAATGAGCTGGTTACACTATGTCAGAGAAGGCGCACGGCTCTTCTCACCCAAAGACTGCCCAGGGAGAAGAGGGACAGTGCGAGTGCGGAGCGAGGAATCCGGGCCTCAGCCCGCAGCACGCCGCGCCAGGTGCCCGTGCTTCTGGGCCTCGTGAACAGATGCTCCCTGGATGAGAAAAGCACTTGGACTCCAACTCAAGAAAGGAGGTGAGAGGGAGTGACTCTGCCCAGGGTGGAGGAGGACCTCAGGGCAGGCCAGAGGCAGCTGACCCCAGCCTCAGAGGAACAACAGCAGTTATCGTGTGATCTCAGAAGGGTTCATTTACAAGTCTGCCACTCCCACCAGACTGCTGAATTCCAAGTACAGTGATTAGGGCTTTTCATTTTTATATCTCTAGTAACTAGCACATGGGACAGGCTTAATCAGTGTTTACTGAGACGAGAAACATTTCAGACGATCTCTCAGCTATTAATCCAGCCTCAGCAATGGCCACTCAGCTCCCTTCCTGAGGCAGCAGCAATTTCAGTTACATAAGCAGAAAGAATGGCCGCGTTTACCAATTTTCCCATCTACAAGGCAGTCCTAGCTGGAGAAATCTTGGTGTGTGCTGTAATCTGAGGATTCAGTAAAGTCATTTCATCATCTCTAACTGCACGGTTTGCAGAAAGAACATCAGACCAGAACCGAGAAGACTCACACTTTGTCTTGATGTCACCGAGTCATGTGGAATGTGGCAAGAGTGGCCCAAATCTACAAGCACTGCCCTGGTCACAGTCCCATCAGCCAGCTGTCTGTCCCTCAGGGCGCCCAGCATGCCCGGCTGACGCTCTCGTCCCCTGAGCACCTGGTTATGGTCTGCGGTCCCACCACACTGAAGCCCACGAGAGTGAGCTGTCCTCACTGTCCACCGCTGCAGCCCCGGCGCCCAGAGCAGTGCTCGGCACGTAACCAATGCTCGATGAATACCCACTGAATGAATGAGTGACAGAATGCAATGCTCTGACTTACAGCCCTTGAGAACTGGTCTTTGGAGAAGCAGGAGCTACACACCTGGAAACGTGCTCAGCAGTGGCAGTCCCCCCTTGGTAGGGAAGCCCATTACTCCACAATCATGCCTGAGGCACAAAACAAAAAACCAACAGGACTCGGGGAGAGGAGCCCCTGGGTGTCCCGAGCTCACGAGGAAGCGCTGGCAGCCAGCTTAAACTGCCAGGGACAGAGCCCTCCTTGCTGGCATCCTGTAGAAGGTAGTCCTGCTCTAATTTCAAACCAACAGGCAGGGGAGTGGAGAGGGCCGGTGCTGACTCCAGGAAGTTCCAGGGAGTTCTAAAGAAGCACAAGACAGATGCTCCAAGCCAAGGGCTCTCCATGTCAGGGAGGTTTGCACCAGAATCACCCAGCTGCTGCCTTCACCCTCCTCACAGGGAGGGCAGTATACTTCACTGAGTGAATTACTGTTCAGCGAACTGCAGGGGGAGAAGAAACTGTGTCCTTTCCCTGCTGTTCTTCAGAACCACGCCCTAGGTAAAGGAATGGAAAGAGGACTGGGGTCTGGCAGGGGCAGCTAGAAGGGGGTTGGCCTAGGACAGTGGTGGTGGAGAAGTCTCGACAAACAGGGATTCCTCTCCTCCCACAGTCTGCTGCTGGGGCCGTGGGGAAGCGGGGCAGGGCCTACACAGCTTCCCTGCCTCTTTTCCATTCCTTTCCCAACTCTCTTCCCTCCCTGTAAGCTGGGAAGCACTGGGGTGAAACAGGGAATGGAAGAAGAGCCCCAGAGCAACAGGAGAGGCAGGGAGAGATGCAGGGGAGGGGGTGTTCTTGCCACAGACCACTGAGTTTAGCCTTTCATATTTTGTAAGTCAGACATTTACAGAGTCAGAAGTCAGGAAACTCCTTAAGAACTATACAAACAAAAAGTTAACTTTTTTGTATGTGACACCCACCGTGGGCTTTGAACGTGGTCACTGACATCACGAAGGATTACACCCTTTGTTTTTTGGGACCACTGTACAGTATTGCTACAGTAAATGTCCATGTAAAAATATAGGTCAGTTCCAAACAAGGTACTAACTCCCCACGCATCACTGCAGAGGTGGCAGGTGGGCAACACAGGCTTAAAGCAAAGGAAGACAATCCTCCAAGTGAGAACACTGGACACCGTGAGTAATTTGCTTTTCTGCGGGTTGGGAAAGGCGTGCGGGGTCTGGTCCTAGAAGTGGCGCATTCTAGCTCACACATCACCAACTTCCAGAAGGATCAGTGCTCTTAAGAAAGGGCCGGCAGTTGCTTTCTGTCAAGAGCCAGATCATTATTTTCAGTTTTGCAGGCCACGAAGACTCTGTTCCAACGATTTAACTCTGCAGCAAAATCTACAATAACCAAACAAATGGGCGTGGCCATGTTCCAGTAACATTTAATTTATAAAAACAAGTGTCAACAGTAAGTGTTGGGGAGGATGCGGAGAAACTGAAACTCTCATACACTGGTGGGAATGTGAAGTGGTGCAGTCATTTTGGAAAACAGGCAACACCTCAGAAAGTTAAACACAGAGTTACCATATGACCCAAGAACTCCACTCCTAGGTATATCCCCAAGAGAAATTTAAAAATATGTCCACAAAAAAGCCTGCACACGAATATTCAGAGGCGTTATTCCCAATAGCCATAAGGGGAAAAACCGACATGTTCATCAAGGGAGAATGGATAAACAAACGTGGCCAGCCCACACAACACCTTCATGCAAAGGGAACGAAGCTCCGGTACACACTCCAGGAGGGATGACTCCTGAAAACGTTACACTATGTGCAAGAAGCCAGACACAACAGATCAAACACTTAGGATTCTATCTTCATGAAATGTCCAAAACAGGCAACTCTGGACAGAAAGTAGACAAGTGGTTGCCAGGGAAGGGGAGAAAGGGCAGTGACTGCTGGTGGGTATGGGGTTTCTCATTAGGATGATGGAAATGTTTCAGAATTGAGACAGTGGTGATGGCTGTACAATCTTGTGAATGGTTGAGTTACGTGTGATGTGGCGGCTGTACTAAAACCACTGTACACTTCAAAAGGGTGAATTTTACGGTGTGTAAATTAATTCTTAATTAAAAAAAAAGAAGCAGATGATAGGCGAAAGTTGGCCTGCAGGCCAAAGTTTGCCAACCCCTGCCCTAAAGGAAATGCCTGTTCTCAGCCCTGACATCTCAATGTCACCCTGAAGTGGCATCTACCCAGGCATAAGCATGAGGCACGCGGCCCTTGGGAGGGGTGCCCATCGTCCGAGGCCCTTCCCAGACATGCTCAACCAGAGAGCTGGGGTCACCTGAACACGACTGCACAGGACTGTAATGAGCATCACACAAAAATACAGACATGATAAGGAGTCTCTGTGGTCCGTGGCAGGAGAAGAGCATGGACAGACTCAGGACTTTCATTTTCAGCTACTAAAGCAGTGACCTAAACTGCCAGAGAACCGTCACCAGTGAATGAGAAAAACAGAGAGGAATAGCTTACTTTAGTGAGGCTGCCATCCTGATGTACTCAGGAGCTTTTTGGTCAACTTTCTCCATGCAAAGTCGTAATTTCTAAGAACAAAAAGAAGAGGTGAGTTGTGCTCTCAAGGTACAGAAAAGCCTACCCAGAATTTATGCTGCATCAACAGAGGTGTTTAAAATGTGTGGTTTTCTAAAATGAAAAAAATGCAGAGTTCTCTTGTTTTGATTGTTGTTATCAATTTTCTGGTTTGCAGACCAAGCAGAAAATCTTGCAGGAAGGAAAGACAGTGAGGGTGAACTCTGACCAGATGTTTTTGAGAGGAGCAAGGCCTTCCAGGACACGGGTCGTCTGAGTTTACCAAGGCAGAGAAAAGAAACTAGTTGCAACATCCTTGCTCTGCCAGGTGATGCCAGACACCAGCACAAGGCATTGCTGGGGATCACTTCAACAAAGGTGGAAGCAAAAAGCATGGCAGCTCATTACGAAAACAAGTTATCAGATCACGAGCTCCACGTCAAGGACGGACAATGGCTACATCTGCAGCTCAGCAAAGGTTTAACACCATTTCTAGCAGCCTGAGTATTTTCACCTGATTCCAGAAACAGCCTCTATGACCTGCAGAACTGCTAACAGTGACCACTCAGTGATCATCAAACAGCAGCACCTTCCTCCTCTGCTCAGTTCTGCACAAGCTGCATCCGCTGCCTGGGCTGGCTTCCTCCTCCCATTTCCTACCGGCTCCCTGCCCACCCCCCACCTGGCTCATCCTCTCGGCCTGCAGGCCTCACCTGGCCATCAGGAGGCTGAGCCAGGCTCACTCCTGGTCTGACTCTAAACCCCATGTTCTTATACCAGCTATGTCCCTTTGACACAGGGTCTACTGAAGGCATTTTGGGGTCGCTAGTGGTAACGAGAACTGAGGTATCTGAATGGACTTAAAAGGGAAGCTCTAAGCCTCTGGGCAGCCTCTCAAACTCCCAAGTGAGCATCCCAGGACTCCTCTGGCCCACTGTTCACCACCGGCCCCAGCGTCTGCCCTCACTCACAGGACCTGGCCACACCCCACGGCAGCCCCCTTCCCCCTCCCACCCCTGGGCCACCGAGGCCTCCAAACTCCCACTTTCAAGAAGGCAAGGAAGGGGAGGGAACAAGTCTGTTGCAACATGCCCAGGGACTGTGACTCATCCAGGGCCCCAGCCAGTGCCCTCTGGCAGAAACTAAAAATGACTCAAAGTAACAGCTTCCCAAAGCATCTCCAGATCTGCAGGCACACAGGGAGCACACGGCAAGGCCCGCAGCGCGGGCCAAGGCCGCCGCGAGTCACCTCGTAGAGCTTCACAATGTCGGGGGTGTGCTCCTTCTCGTCCATCTGCTGCTCCCTCTTGAGCAGCGTGTCCTTGCAGTGCGTGCAGCAGCGGATCCGCTCGTCGTCCTTCTCGTCCAGGACCGAGCTCACGCTGCTCACGCTGCTGATGCTGCCCCGGCGGGAGCCATGGACGCTGCTGGGCGACTGGCTGGGGCTGGTGTGCGCGCTCAGGGAATCCTTGCTGGCACTGGTGAGCTTGTCTGTAAGAGCAGCACGGGACAGGCAGCAGTGAGCCCGCAGCCTCCAACCACCCAACTGCCTACGGACTCCACGGTGTCAGTGCGGTGGGAGCAGGCTCTGCCTACAGGCAAGAAGCCCCCGCACCTCTGCTCCCTGGGCTCAGACTCTGCGGTGGGACAGACGCCACCGCAGCCAGGAAGAGCCAGACAGCCGAGGACAGCCTGTCTGGGAAGCTCCAAGGCCCACTCCTAACCTGGTCTAACCACCTCCTGCCCCGCCTCGTTTACCACATGCCTCACGCACAAGCTGGGCTCTCCCAGGACTGTCCTCCACAGCCTTCCCCCACGCCCAAACGCCCACTCCCGCCCCTTCCAAAGCTCAGCTCCAACAGCACGTCCTCCAGAGAGCTCTTCCCAGTTCCTTAAGGCAAAAAGTCTGCCCTTCATTTCAGTTCCTACCATGTCACCCCTGCCTCCCACCTTCCACTTTCCCCCGCGTGACAGCTGCCCTAGGGATCTGCGACTCCGAGGGTGGGAACTGTCTTCTTTAGACTTGTACCCCGACATCTCCACCAGGGCCGCCCATAGCAGCTGCCCAGTAAGTCAGTTAACTAGCCCAAGAGTGCCCTCGAAGCACAGCTTATAGTCTTGGGTGAGACAAGCAGTTGTCCTGGGGAGAAGGTAACATGTTGAGGCAACGTGTGCCCGCAGGACATCAGAGCTGGCCAGAGGATGCATCTGCTTCTCCCATGTCGTCCAGACACCCTGCAGCCAACAGCACGAGCAGCGTCAGCGGAACTCTCTAGGGCCGCAAACCACCCGGGAGTCCCAGAATTAGCAACTTTGAACCAGCTGAGATTCAAAGTTCTGGACCATCGGGTTCCACCTGACCTCTGCAGTCTCGTTCCCACATCCTCAAACAGGGCTCCCCCTGCCCCCACCCTGACTCTGTACTAGCTGGTCTACTCACCTTCCCTGGCCTTTCCACGTTCCCTGCCAGGGCACCTGCTCTTCACTCCACTTTGGACGCCCGCCTCCCCACCTCCCTGCAGTCCCGGTCATCCTGCAAGGCTCCCCTCACGTTGTCACCTCCCGACCCTCGGCATCCACGCACCCCCTCTTCTCCAGCCTCCACAGCACCTGGGGGCTCCCGTACTGTGACATGACAGCCTGCTCCACATGGCCCTGAGCTGTTCGTGACTTTCTGCTCACAGGAAAGGACTAGCCCGCTGCTCATTTTTCAAGACCCTCTCCTACAGTCTCCTCTCAAAGCCTCACCTGTACTTCAGCAGAGCTGACAGAGATTTGGTCAGCTCTGCTGCGTGCCTGACAGCTCCTCCCGTCATACTTGTCTCTTTATAAAGTGACTGTGAGCATCCCCTGCTGGATGCTGGACCCCTTGGGGGAATGCACGATGCCTATAGACCAGAGGTGGGCAAACAACAGCCTGCGGGCAAGTCCGGCTGGTTTTTGTACGGCCTGCAAGGTAAGTGCAGTTTTCACACTTCAAAAAGGCTGTTTAAAAAAGAAGAAATGTCAGAGACCGTACATGGTCTATAAAGCCTAGAACACTTGCTGTCTGGTCCTCTGTGGGGAAAGTTTGCCAACCCCATTACAGGCTTTTGTATCCCTGGCCCCTCGCACTGTGACTATGCTGTAATGGGCTCCAGGGAATTAACAAGTAAATGAATGAAGGGCCACTCATTTAAACAAAAAAATCCCCAAGTCAGCCAGTGAGGATTAGTAAGCAAGCCGGTCTCAGAGGAGAGGAGGGTCCAGGCCCCCCTCCACATCACCTACATGCTAAGGGCAGGCTGACGAGCTCCATGCACTTCTTGCACATGATAGACCCACAGAGGCGGCAGTGGTGGCGGCGGTTACGGATGCTGAACTTGTTCCCACAGTCTGGACAGAAAGGGACATCCTGGTCGTTGACCCAAGGCACCACGGACTTCTCTATTGCTTTGGGAAGAACAAAATAAGAACCAAACAAACAAAAGAGCAGGCTATTTTGAAAAAGAGCTCTGGTCAGGCAGAAAGACGAAGAAGGGAGGGAAATGAGCAAAGTTCTCGAGTTACCTCGGATCTTAGCAGACTCGGTATTTGTTCTGTCAAACGCAGTAAGCTGACAGGGAGAAAAAGGTGCCGGAAGAATTAGTCTGGTGGTACACACACTCTCCCCAGGCAGAGGCAGCAAGTGGGAACGAGCGCACCCGCGCCTCTCAAGTCTCCTCCATCCTCCCCAAGCCCAGGGTCACAGACGCAACTTCACGGGGGACAGAGTATTCGCGTGGCATTCAGAAGGCACCTCCCTTCCCGCGACCCATTTCCAACCTCTTTGTTGTCAGTTACCCATTTAAGCAACAACCAGGGGTGGGCGAGGATGGGATAGGATGGCTGCTAAAAGCAACAAGGGCCCCCCAATTCTCCACAGTCCTCCCGGACAATGAAACTGACCACATACTTCTGCTCTATAAAGTACACGCCAAGAACTGAACCTGTGGTTGCGCACCACGCAGCCTGGCTTACACACAGCAAGCATTTCTAGGGTCCAAGTGAAACAGAGCAAACAAGGTACTGAAGACGCACTCTCATTCCACAGGACAAGAGGTTCCCACACTGCACGCTGTCCCTGCACTCCTCACACACCTGGTCACCAGGCTCTCTGTTTCCATCAAATGGTATCACACACTCTGCCCCACTATATGATGGTACTCGGGACACCCCAGCCAGGAAAGGACTGAAGGCATAAAGGTTTTCCAGCAGCCAAGTGGGCGTCATAGGGAGGAAAAGGGAAGCTGGATATGAGGCCAGTCGTCAACCTGGGCCCAGGCTGGAACTGTCCACCACACCCTCCGCACCTGCTGGGGCGTCTCCCTGCCTGCACCAGACATACACCATATACATGACACATGCTGCAGAAAGGTAATTTTTCACCCCCAGAAAATTTGTACTTGCAGAAAAAAAAAGTGTTTTAAACAAAAAAATTTACCTTCTCTAACCTGATAATTAATTTATTGACTTCAACAACATAGTGGTCAATTCTGGCAGCTCGGTGTTTTTTGAAGTCGGAAAGATGGCTTCTCACAGCACCTAGAAGGAGGCGAGGAGGGGAGACAAGTGACTCGTCATTTCTCTGGGGGAGCCTCTCTACCTGCTGCTTATCCTCAACAAATTTCAAAAGCAAGTAAAAATGCTAGGATTTTAGAGTTTTACTGAAAATTTTAAACTAGAAAAGCAAATGAAAGGAAATTTGCTAAGTTGTTAACTAGGGTTACTTCAGGGCCAAAAAGTATGGCACGAAAGGCCTCGAGGACAGAGCTTGGACTCTGGAGCCAGCCTGCGCTCGGTTTCATTTTTGCCACTCACTGTACGACCCTGGACAAGTCCCTCAGCCCCTCTGTAATGTGGAGTCGCATTTATAACGTGGAGGAAACAGGGGCACCTACCCAAAGGGTTGTTATCAGGATTAAATGAGTTAAAATTTATACAATCCTCAGAACACTGCCTGGCACATAAATTTGTGTTAAATAAAAAGGGCAGTAACGTCATGGGTGATTTTTTTTTTTTAATCTCTCATACTGTTCAGTACTTTCCAAAGTTGGTACAACATGGTTTCTCATCAGAATATAAACAATCCTCTAGTAGCCTGTTGTCTGAGTGTATCTGAATATCCCCGCTCGGTGTCACCTCTTCTGAAAACCCGGCCCTGCGCCCCAACCCTCCCAGCACTCAGCTCATTTCTTCCAATGACGGCCTACTCATCTATGTACCTTCCCGCATCCGGAGTTTCTCACACGCTGCGCTCCTAACCATCCTCTCTTCCTTTTCTTCCCTAGCCATACTCTAATCAAATTTTAGTTTCAAATTCTCAGGGCTGACAATAAACACTGACTTTTAAAATCTGCCATTCATTTGACCATCCACAATTTGTGACTTCCTTCAGTTGCTGAAACAGGCAACTAAACTGAAAAATCACCCTGATAATTTAACAATGGCAATCATGAAATAAACTATCAAAAAGCTAGTAAGAATTCACATGTTTGAAATGCCTCCTTCATGTTACTAATTGTCTTTCATATGTAACTAATAACTATATGTGTACGGTCTTGTTTTTAAGCCGTTTTCTCCTGTCATGATGAAAATGTTTCCACTCTCCAGTATGGTAGGCACTAGCCACACGCGGAGCTTGAGCACTTAAAATGTGGTTATGGAACTGACTTTAAATTTTACTTAACTTTAATTTATTTAAATGTAGGTAGTCACATACAGTTAGTAGCTGTCACACTGGACAGTGCAATTCGAGGACTTTCCTCATGCAAGAAGACACATTCGGCAGCGGCACCACGTGGTAGATGAGCCCAGGTAGATACCACTGCCCTTCTTAGAGCCTGTTTCCTCACAACTCATCCCACCACACGAGGCTCTTGTGAAAGGTGAACAAGATAATGAATATCAAAGTGTAATAAAATGTCATGGAACAATCATTTATCCATTGCATGGACAGAAAATATTAATGACTGCAATCACGGAACAGTGCAAGGACACGTAGGATTAGCTAGTTCAGCTCTGGGTGGTGTGATCTTTTTGATAAAAGCTTTATTGAATTATCATTCAAATACATATACTCCACCATTTAAAGCAAACTAATTCAGTGGTTTTTAGTATATTCACAGGGTTGTATAACCATCATCAAAATAAATTTTAGATTTTCATCACCCCAAAAAGATGATTATTTTGAAAGTCAGTAAATGAAACTATAATTACATGCTTCAGAAAACTGAGTTGCACAAACCGTGCTCACGAGGCTGGTAACGTCTCCATGAGAAGAGACAGCCCCAGTCAGCGGACGGTGCCGGGGCTGCTGACAGAGACCGGGATCCTCCCCACGACCGGGGTCTCCCAGCTGTCTGACCCTGGGCAGGTCCCCAGGGAGTGCTGGGAGGCCTAAGCGAGAGTCTGCTTGTAAAGCATTCAATGCAGTGCCTAACAGAGAAGGTGCCGGCTCATCCTCGTCTGTCTTCTGCCCTCACCAGGACACAAGGTCCACACGAAGCTTGAGGCCATTCAAGGTTTACTGGTGCCTCTTCAGCCAACTCTTAAAACATACAGATGCTCAATCATTTGCTGAATGAATGAACAGATTTCTTACCAAGCTCCTGGGGCTCCCACAGGTAAGGGTCAACCCCTCCATAGCTGAAGGACTCATATCCCTGGGTCCCCGCCTCTGCTCGGTCATCTCCTTCCCGTTTCAACAGCCTGTTCTTTGCTTTCCTAGCCTTCTGGACAAGACCTTGAAAAATGGAACAAAATCATAAATGAATCCACAAAGAATCCCAGTAAAGAGTTGAGAGAAATCTCAAAACAAGAGTTGATGAAATAATTATGCTTTGTTTAAAGTGCTCAAGAAAACTCTGGATCCTAAACAAAATGCAATGACAAGTACACAATCGCCTTAGTACAAATAATCACAGAGCGATCCATGAATCGGTCAGTCCTAGCAGTAAGTTGGTTCAAGTGGCCGACACATAGCTAAATTACTGCTCGTTGCCACGTTTAAGAGCCCAACAGAAGGGTTAAATCAAATTGAATGAGGGGACGAGGGTGATCGAAATGTTTTCTTCTATATCTTAATTGGAGAGGTGGTTACATGGGTACATACATTTTTCAACTGACTGAATTGTACATTTAAAAACTTATGTGTAAACGATACCTCTGTGAAATAAAACTCATATTTTATGGCATGACAAAATAATTTAAACATAAAAAATGTTCTCTGCCCTTTGACTTCCTCTCTCCCTGCACTGTGCCCAGAGTATCTGCATAATGCATCGACCAAACCTCCTCCACCAGCAGAAATACCTGCTCAACCATAAAGAGCAACATTTTCCTGGCATCAACAAGACGCTCCTTAAAAGGTAACACTCCTTCTTGATCTTATAAGGGGCCATGACGACACTTAGATCTGGATTGTGTAAACTGTTAACGTGCCTGAAGAAAACTTATCTCTATGCCTTGACTCTAATGGGCAGAACAGTTCTCAGAGCTTTCTGAGATGCTGTTCCCAAGTAATAATTCTCATTTTGGCTTGAATAAAATTTTCCATTTCTTTCTTAGATCCACTGAGTAATTTTTCATTGACACTTCAATTAAAATAAAAGGTTTCTGGGTTTTTTTTTTAATCAAATCTACAGTACTAATTCACTTATCCTAGGGACTCATGAGTAAACATTCCTCATTTACCTATAGGATGGGATTCAGTCAAACCAACATCCCAAGACGGTGTTCCCCATCATGCGCAACTGTACATGGACTTCTTCCTCCACTCACTTACCGAATGCATGTGTTAGAATACTGACAAAAAAACTTCAAGAAACGAATATAAAACTTACAACATAACACAAAGAAAACTAGACTTGGTAAGAAGAGAACATGAACGTTTCCTGGGTTGATTCCTTGTATGCACCAGGCACAAAGCAAAGTGCTATCATATACGTGATGCCAGTTCATGCTCACAGCAGCATGATGCAGGTGGTAACCCTCCTTACAAATGAGGACTTGACATCAAAGAGGGGGAGAAACTGTTTCACCCAAGATCACAGAGCTTACAGGCAGCAGGGCTGGAACTGGAAACCTCATTTATCTGAAACGAGAGCTCCAGCTCTCCCCAGACAGCACTGATTTGAAATCTGTGCCTTTGCAGAACAGGGGTTCAGCCACCTACACTGAGGTGAGAGGACCTGCTGTAAAAATGGAACAACAGTCAACTGGTGAGGAAAAAAAATTCTCAGTTCCAAGTTTCTCTCATTAATGTTCTTAAATCTAGGTGACTTCTATCCATTTCTGCCACTAGAATATCAGATTTAATACAAAATGATATAATTTCTTTTACATTTAATAGATCAATACTTCATGGAATTCTCATGATTTTGACGTGCTCTGTCACTTAACGTTAAAAACACCCCCACAGCTTTTCAAAAATCTAGGTAAATGCAAGGGGGAGGGTATAGTTCAGTGATAAGAGTGCCTGCTTAGCATGCAGGAGGTCCTTGTTCAATCCCCGGTACCTCCACTAAGAAGCAATAAAATAAATAAACTTAATTACCTCCCCCTCGCAAAAAATAAAAAAATAAAAATCTAGGTAAATGTAGATATGGAGGGGTTGCTAGGCAGGGGGTGAAACTGATACAGTTAGAGATACGCCTTTGTTAGAAAGTCACTCTGGGATGGCTTTCTCCAACTGGAAAAAATAAGGCCCACCAGAACTGAACAACACCTTCTAAAACAATTAGTCTTTCTTAACAATAGGAGAGGAAAACAAAGAATTCAGCAGACAGGAAACTGGAGTTAGCAAACACAAATTCATTTTTGCAAACAAGAATCAACTGTAGACTTAAATAGACAGGCCACGCCATTTAACCATTTCAGGACGCAGAGGAAAGGAGTCTGGCAACCTTTTGGGGTGGGTGTAGTCCTTCAAGAGAGGGCCAGTTAAGAATAATCCCATATGTTTTTTTAAAACGCCTACAAACTCACAGTTCATTTTATCCACCTTTTCTTCTACTTACTGTAAATGTGCTAAACTGAAGCTGAACCAGGCCTGGGACCCAAACTCACTGACCACTTTTTTGTAGTAACACGTTTGTATTTTCTTTTTTAAACTGCCCCAAAATCTGATACCAAGGTTTACTCTTTTGCTTTAACATTTCACTTGCCTGAAACTAGCAATGTCATAAGATTTCTAAGAACCAGAAGACCAAATGCAGAGGTGATTTGCTTTTTAAAGGACACTTCAAAAACCTTCAGTGTCAACCTTCAAAACTTTATTTTCCTGATTCTGAAACACAGAAAACTGCAACACAAGCAAGAATTTCTTCCTGACTGAAAAAATGATCATTAGTAGTACTAAAGGAATGCTTAACTCAATCTCTTAGTTCTTCTGAGGTACAGATGGGGGGGGGGAATGGAGGGGAAAACACATGAGAAGTCTCCCAAGGTACTTTCACAAGGAACAAGATTTCCACTCTAGTATTCTCTGAATACACTCCCATATCTGTTATTCCCTAATCTTACATGTTTTCCCCTAATAAAAGGGTCCGCATCACAGGAACGTGAGGACATTCTCTCACCTCTCTACCCACTGGCATCAAAGTCTTACTGAAATCACAGTATACGAGTCAGTTCAGGTGACACTAAGACTGGACGCTCACTGAAAATCAGGGAGGCCCTTCAGCTGTCCAAAGGACACTTAGATAATCAGCTTATTTTTGTGTTAGATTTCCAGCTGCAGTGCATGCTGTGATTGGAATGCACGGCCTCACCTCATCAGTGATGCCACGTACAAAGAGCAGCACTAGGCTTAGAGGTGATGTAGGACATGGGGTCAAGGCGTAGCTCTGTGGATTCCTATGTGCCCTTGGATAAGTCACTCCACGTCCCTGAGCCTCACTTTTCCTCTGTAAAATGAGACCAACATCTTCCTGCAGGGTTGTCGGGGGGTCAAATGCAGTAACAATGTATACGAAAGAACACAGATTTCTCTCTTTCTTTTTTTGCCTCCTAAGAGTTACAACTCGGCCTTAGCCGCTACAGCCAGAAGCCACCTAGTCCATCACAGCCCTCAGGATGTTTGAAAATGATTGATTTTGTCATGTTTTTAACAGAAGTTATAAAGGTTAGCACTTGCAACAACTCTTTTTTTCTGAATTGAAAAGTGAGACATGGAGTGGGACTATTTGATTACAGGAAGCATGTGACTCACATGTGACTCACATCTGTGGAGGCCAAAGTTCACTTAGGAATACATGATCATTCCTTCTCCCCCACCCAAAAAAGAGCTGTGGATACAGTATTAGACCTTTTTAGTCCCACTGCCTTCAGACACGCTGCCGGCGGTTGGCTGAATCACTAGGAGACGCAGTTCCAGAGCAGCGGCATCGTACTCAGAAGTCAGAATCTAAAGCCTGGGAAGTGAATACTCTGTAGAGTCAAAATGACTTTGAAAAATTATTTTTGCAACCCTCCAGGACCTGAGGGTATTTGGAAGCTCAAAAACCAAGTTTTAACTTTTTGGGTTTTTCTCCTTACATTTCAAGTATGCCTTCCTTTTCCTGGGCTAGGAGGACAAGGTCTAGTTGAAGAAGTAAGGACGGCAGGAAGGCCTGAATTTGTGATGGGTAAATGAGTGTACAGCGTGCCTCCACTTACACAACAAAGGAAAGGAATTCTGCCCCAGAACGCTCTTACGCTGGGAGTTAGATAATTCAAATAGTCTAGCAAGAGACAGCAGAGGACAGCAATTACATTTACTAGGTTAAAAGCCAGGCTCTACTTCATTGTGTAACTTAAGGCAAGTTATCTGTGCCTAATCTCTCTCTGCCTAGTATCCTCATCAGTAAAATGGGGCTCAGAGTCACATAGTTACTGTGAGGATAAAACGAAGTTAATACATGGGAAGCTTCTGAACAACATCTGGCTCATGGAAGGCACTAGGTATGTGTTCTCTATTGTTACTATTAATTTACTATTGTTTATCATGTTCTGGTGGCAATGTGGAAGCTGACGAAAACCATCCCATGAGTTAAAGTTCCCAATGACAGAATGGGGTAAGCAGAAAACCCTGGCTCTTACTTTTAATTTGTCCTTTGACATCACGGTCTTCCCCAGAGTGCTCTTCCTCATAGTGTGACTGCAGCTGATAGAAAGACTGCAGGTCCTTCAGGCACAAAGGGCAGAGGAAGCCCTCCCTCACTTCCCCTGGGTCATCCAGAGAAGCCATGGCAGGGTCCCTCTCAGCCCCCGCAAGGCAGGGGCCTCATGCCAAGAGTCAGCTTGATTCTTCCACAAGGGACCAGGGCTCCCACAGGACTAGCTTAACCAAGCAGCACACAGGTGATGGGGAAGTGGCATCATGGTCCCAGATGCGGCTTCCTCTCTGGAGTAGAAGGCCTAAGGAAAGAAAGAAGCAAGGGAAAAAAAATAAAAATCATTTCAGGCAAGTTAGCAGCAACTGAAAATTTTCTTTGTTCTTCTCACAATTCAGCAAGGGCACTTAATGTTTTTCAGTGCAAGCATGAGAACACAAACTGCTTTCTCAAATCCTTAGCCCAAAATACAGAACCTTCTAAGATGTGAGAACATCACTGGACAATGGCAACTCAATGAAGGGGGAAGCACAGATTCTTGAAGATAAGAAAGGAAAACACAACTTCAAGAGTAAACACAATACCAAGGCAATTCATTCCAATGATCCGACTTCATAATTTGTATGCCACGTTAGCGGGTGGGGAAATGTCGAGGTAGTTATCAAGCAGAAGTTTTATGTGACTCTCTTTACCCTGATCATTTTTGCAACCACATATACTGAGCTCTTGCACTTACGTCAAAAATGCACTGATGTAAAAGGGATAGCGTCTGCCCTAAAAATCAAAAATAAAAACCAAACCAAACAAAACTCCCAATCTCAGTCTAAGGAGGAGCACCAGAAATCTAGTGATCAAAAAGAAAGGTCTCTACGTTTGTAGAGTACGTTCTCTCCAATAAACTTACTAGGTTTTATACGCCAGCAAGCCTAATGTTCTCACTGCTTCAAAAAATAAAAGGGTTTGATGCTGAAACAATTCAGGACTTACTAAGTTAAATTTCCAGTTTTACTGGGCCATGGCAAAGTCACTTCCAATGTCACCGTAGAAAGACTCCCAGCCATACGGAGAATCCGGACAAAACCATCCCACAACAGAGAAATTTCTCCCCAAGAATGTGAGGCCACAAACCAGAGTAGAGAGTGAAGGGGAGTGTATGACCCTCAGCTTTGAGCTTTGGATGGCCCTGCTTAGAGGGCCACGGAGGAGAGACTGCCTCATTCCCAAATCTGAAGGGCGGCAGTGATCCAGAAAATAAACAAATGAAACGCCAGGTCGCTGTTTTCCTCCTCCGCTAAAAAGCCCAATCTACATACGTGCAGATCTCAGCCTCTCTTCCAGATGGTCACGGAAATAGCAGCTCCCGTCCCCTCCCCAGACAGCGGTTCACCTGAGCCCCCTTCCTTCCCACGCACTCAGACCGACCAACCGCAAATCCAACCCACACCACTGTCCACCTCTCAAGGCAGCCTCACTCCCTCAAAGAAATGCCTTCCTTGAGGCATTCTCCCGTCGGACAGCCCCGCACGTCTCTTCACAGCACTGACCTCAATTTATAATCACAGGTACACAAAGCAAGTAAATTCATAAGCCTGCAAGCTCTATGAGGGCAGAGGCCATGTCCACGTTCCCCAGCAGGGAGGTCAGTGCCTGGCACCAACCACGGAGAAACGCACTGCAACGCTCCACTTGGGAATGAATGGATGGATGAATGAACGAACTCAAATCGTATAACCAAACACCCACCACAAACCAAAGACATCCACCACACACCATCAAGCCAGGCTCCGCGTTCATAACCTACGCAAGCTCCTCACACTCTAAATCATGTCCAAAATCCAGATTAAAATCTCCATGTCCTGCACTCTCCGTCCAGCGGGAGCGCCGCCGGCCACACGCCGCGGCGACCGCACACCCTGCGGCCGCCCTCCGCTCAACTCCACACGACGTGCACACGTCGCATCGTCACGCGCGCCGTGAAAGGCTCATCCCCACGGAGCACACATGACAGCCTCACAGACGCCGCACAAAACACCGCAGACGACTCCACACAAGCCGCGAACCCAAACGCCTCGACCTCCCACAAGCGGAGACCCGAACGCAACCGCGCGGGAGACGATCCCCCGATGCCCACTACCAGCCGCGGAACCACACACAGCTCACACGGCCCGCGCGACCACACGGCCAGGGCCCAGGCACCACAGGCACACGAGCGAAACGCGGCCCGAGCGCCGCGGCTCCCACCGCGCGCGCCACACCCACCACAACACCCGCGTCCCGCGGCCGCACGGTCCGCCCGCCTCGTTCCCGAGGGGAGCCGCGCCCCGCCTCGCAGGCCCGCCCGGCCCTCTGGACCGCGCCGGGCTCCCGCGGGCGCGCAGGCCTGTCCTCTTCTCGGACCCAGGCTCTGGGCCTCCTCGGTCCCTCACACAAGCGCGGCCGCCATCTCCATCGACTGCTCGGCGCTCGGCAGGCGCGCCTGCGGCGGCGCCGAATCTGAAGGGCAGGCTGACAGACGCCGGAGGAGCGCCGAGTCTTCGAGGAGCCCGGAAGGATTCCCCGGGCGCGGAGCCGCGGCGGCTTCTGCGCAGGCGCTAAAAGAACCGGCGCGGCGAGTCTCGGTAATTGTGCGACGTTTTGACGCCCGAGGCGCCGGACGTTAAAGCCAGCAGCTTGCCCTCCACCCCATTGTACAGATGGGAAAATCCAGACCGGTGGTTCTTTAGGCCTTGACCGAGGTGCGCAGTGAATGAGGCAGCAAGGGGTCTTGAATGCCTCCTATCGCGCCCCTAACTGTAGTTCTAAATTAATTTGATTCCATTAAAGTTCCTGAGAGCTAGAGAGACGAGGAATATTCAGGAGACCTGGAGGATGTGGAAAGGCCTGGAATACAACCACTTGAGACTGGTGGGGCTTAGTATCCACCCCAAGCGTGGAGCGCATGGTCAGGAAAATCTGCACCGTTTTCAAACGCGGATCAAAACCCAATGAGATATCTTCCTCACACCTGTTAGAATGGCTGTTATCAAAAAGAAATAAGTGTTGGGGAGAATGTGAAGGAAAGGGAACACTTGTGCACTATTGGTGGGAGTGTAAAGGGGAGCAGCCACTGTGGAAAAGGGCATGGAGATTCCTAAAAAAATTAAAAATACCATATGATCCACCAATTCCACTTCTGGGAATTTATCTGGAGATCACAAGACACTAACTCAAAAAGATATCTGCACCCCGGTGTTTGTTGCAGCTTTATTTACAATAGCCAAGAAAGATATGGAAACAACCTGTCTATCAATGGATGAATGGATAAAAACAATGTGATATATTTAAAAAAGAATGAAATCTTGCCACTTGCAATAATGTGAATGGACCTAAAGGGCGTTACACTAAGTGAAATAAGTCAAACAGAAAGACAAATACCACATGAGCTCACTTATATGTGGACTCTAAATACCCACATGCATACACACACACCCACAAGCTCATAGATACAGAGAACACATTGGTGGTTGCCAGAGGTGGGGGCTGGGGGGAGGGGGCAGGAGGAATGGGTGATAGGATTCAAAAGGTACAAACTTCCAGTTACAAAATAAATAAGTCCTGGGATATAATGTACAGCATGGTGACTACAGTTAGTAATATTGTACTGCATATTTGACAGTTGCTGAGAGCAGATCCTAAAACTTCTCATCATAAGAACAAAATGTAACTATATGTATTGGCAGATGTTAGACTTAACCATTCATCTGCATGATATACAAATATCAAATCATTATGTTGTACACCTGAAACTGATAATAATGTTATATGTCAAGTATACCAAAAAAAAAAAAAAGGCAGGATGCTCAATCAGCACCCACTCCATGCCCTGCGCTGTGCTGGGTACCACAGGGTATACAGGGACAAAACCCCGTCCCAGTCCTTGGGAGCTATGTGCTTTGTGCCCTGCACAAGTGCTGGCCTTTAGCCATGCCCTGGGCCCCAGAAGAGGAGCTCCAGAGCATGATGGAAAGATCCTGAGCTTTGGGGTCAGAAGTCGACCGCGGTTCGTGTTCCAGCAGTTTTACTCGACCACTTTGACTCCTAGTATCACAATCTGTAATGTAGGGACAAAAATCATAGTTGCCACCTCATTGGATTTTGAAGACCGAGTGAGGTTATGTGGGATGGAAGGGGTGTGTGGGGGTGTACTTAACACTGGCTCTGCCTCTGGGCAGGAGCATTGATTCTGTGACCAGCCCTGGGCCTCCATCACCTTCTGTTTAAGGACACGAGGCTCCCAGCATGGAGAGCGTTGAGCTTTTCGAGGGTCATCACCAGTGAAAGGGCAGGAGCTCAGTTTCCAGAGACCTGGGATCTAGCCCTGGCTGCATCTTACTTTGTGACTTTGAACAGGTCCTGTCCCCTCCCTTGGCCTCAGTTTTCCCATCTATACAGATTAAATGGGTTCCAAAGACTTGCAAGCTCTTTTATTTTTTCAACCTGATGGCCACATTTTTTTTCACTTTGCAGGGTTAGAAGGTGTGGTCAGGGACGCCCCACCCGCCTTGTGTACTGGCACAGACAAGAGAGTTGCCAACCTGTCGGAAGCAGAGCAACTCACTGGAACTGCCTCTGTCGCTCGCCTCTTCCTTGGGTCCTGGTAGCCAGGACTGGGGAGTGAAAACACTATATTGCATGGCTGGGGCTAAAGGGGTCCCAGAACAAGCCATGCTCCCAGGCAGAACTATGTCTGAGGTCAGGTGATGAACCTTTTACTAAACCATCATGATTTTGCCTGTCACTCTATGATTTACAAAAGCTGGTGTCACAGTCACCATTTCCTATACTCAAAAAAGCAATGGCAATGTGGCCCGCAACTTGTGAATTATTTCTGGAAATTATGAGGGATCAGCCACTTCCATTCTATTGATATTTTAAAGAACAAGGGCAGCAAAGACCTTCCTGTATGCTTTACAGTTTATCAAAAGCACTTTCATTAGTCAAATCCTTTGGGCAACTATCTTACTATTTCCATTTTAATAATAATAATAATGATGACTAATATTTACAGAGTGATTCACATGTGCTGGTCACTGTTCTATGTGCTTTACACGTCTTAACCAATTCTCAAACAAATCTATGTGGTACAAACTAACATCATTCCCACTTTGTAAGTGAGGACTCTGAGGCACAGAGAGGGTAGGTGACTTGCCCAAGGTCACGCAGCTGGTAAGTACTGAACCCAGAGTCATCTTGTCTTGAGATTTCCAAACCCTACAACTCCTCCCTCTGTGAAGGCCTGATATCCTGATCTCTGAGTCCTTCTGCATCTCTCAGCATTTTCCAGGCCCCAGCCATGGACCGGGGATAGAAATAGAAGGTGTGAGGAGGTTAAGGTAAGACAGTCTTAGTCTTCGAAGTGGCCTCCACTGGCAGGGGACACAGATGCTCATAAGCCAGTTAGTTAGAGAAAAAGAGGTGTGCACACGTGGGCAGCCGCTCTGGCATTCAGAGGGAGGCTGGTGACATCCTCTGCGAGAATTCAGGGACAGTTTCCCAGAGGCGACAAGCATGAGCGGAGCCCTTGGGTGGAAATGACAGGGAAGGGCTTCCAGGCCAGGAGAACAGCACGTGCCGAGGCACGGCCACGGGGAAGAGCATGCCTTCCTGAATCCTTTGAGCATCTTAGGAAAGTTCCTGCACGAACTGAGTGTTTGCCCGACACTAAAGGGGCCGCTTCCCATGGCTGACACTGGACGTCTTCTCCTTTGCCTTCCGCCTTAGGGCGCGCGCTCTCTCCCCCTCCCTCCCTCCCTCGTCCCTCTCTCCCTCTCTGATCTCTTTCTTAATGGCTCCTTATTATCTAAGTCCACCCCCGGCAGCGCGAGATGTCTTGGCATCACAGTAAAACCGCTGAGCAGGGAAGGGGAGGCACGCTGTGGGGACTGTCGTCAGGGGCGCGTTTGCAGCGTGTCACGCGGCTCCCCCGAGCCCCGGTTCCTCCCCGACTCCCTGGCCTGGCCCAGCCCCAGTTCCCAGGCTGCTGCCACCTGCACTGAAGTTGGGGACAGAGGTTGGCACCCGTCTGCTGGCACAGGGAAATGCGAGTCGTGACGAAGGACAGGCGGGGCGGCGGGAGGGAGGCTTGGTCTGCGGAATCCACAGAGGATGAGCCAGGCTGGGTGGTGTCCAGGGGAAGCAGCTGGCAGCCGCTCAGGGTTAGGAGGGAAGGAAGCAGAGAATGGGGAAGGAGAAGAGGGAAAGAGGGAAGGAAGGGGATGATAGAGAGGGAAAGAGGGAGAAAAGAATAACAGGAAGAAAGTTCCAGGGAGGGAAGCGTCGCGGTTCCAAGTACAGGCTCGGGCTTCAGTCCCAGCCCTGTTGCTGTGTGACCCCAGGCGGGTCGCTTAGGCTCTCTGTTTTCGTTTCCTCTCCAGCAAAATGGGATCACGATAGTACCTCCCTCCTAGGTTGGAGGATTAAATAGGTCCACATTTGGAAAGTGCTGGAACAGTGCCTGGCCCACAGGAAGGACTATGTAAATGTTTGGTAACTAAAGAGAGGGAAGGAGGTGGCGTTCAGATGGCTTGGCAGTCCTGTCAGGCTGAGTCAGAAACCACCAGAGGATGTGTGAGGGCCCAATCTGGTTCATGGAAATATTTTTGAGAGTCATGGCCCTGGCAGATGGGAACTCAGAAAGGAATCAAATAGTAGCTACATTCGCTGAACCCAGTGAGGGAGGGGATGGGAAGTGGCAGCCTCTGCAGATCTGAAAAGGAGGAAATTCAGAATTGACTTGGGGGCACTCAAGTGGCAAGGCCACCCAATTTGCAGGTCACAGGCTGGCATTTCCTTAGACTAAGCAGGGCTGCCACCAGTCCAGAGAGATCCTCGGTGCGTAAGAGAGAGGCCCCCCTCCATCCAACAGACGTAGCCCCGTGCCGGGACTCAAGCCCTGGGCTTGGAGAGTGGGGAAGGCATGGAATTCTGCTCCCGCT